TGTGTGTGTGTGTGTGTGTGTGTGTGTGTGTGTGTGTGTGTATGTGTGTGTGTGTGTGTGCGTGTGCATAAGTGCATGTGTATCATGTTTTATTGATTCATTCATCTACTGAGGGGCATCTGGGTTGGTTCCATATCTTAGCTATAGTGAATAATGCTGTGATAAACATAGTCATGCTGGTAGCTTTAGTATGGCCTTGTTTGTGATCCTTTCAGTAAATGCCCAAAAGTGGGATTGTTGGGTCATAGGGGAGGTCTGTGTGTAATTTTACTCTGAATTCTTATTGACACGGAGGTAAAGAATGTTTCACAGAGATGAAAACTGAGACTTAAAAAGGAGTCCCTTGTCCACGAGTTTTTAGCTCCCATTTCTTGCATGCACAACAGGAAATCTTTCTCTTTTTCTGTTTGACCCAGCTTTCTCTTGTTACACTAAAGTAAATTATTGCTTTAAAAAAAGAGTTACAATAAACATAGTTGTGCTGGTACCTGTAGTATAGTCTTGTTTGTGATCATTAGGGTAAATGCTAGGGTATAAGTCTTCACTGTATTTGATGTTGATATAATTTGTGGAGGGGAAGGGAAAAAACAAACTTTAAATAGGGTTACAGGTGGACCCATTAAAACAATGAGATGTACAAGACGTTATGTGGAAAAATGAACTTTACAAGTTTGGCGGGGTGGGAAGTAGGGAGGTGGTAGCGGGGTGTGGAGGTGGGGGGTGGAGAGGGGAAGGGATGGTATGGGGAAACGAAGGAGGAGGCAACAATGCTTGATAAGAAATGTACTCACTATCTTGCCCATGCAATTGTAACCCCTCTGTATGATATTTTCACAATTAAAAATAGTTACTTGTCATTCCTGTCAGTTCTCAACAGGTCAGGACTTGAACACTGTGCTGAGGCCTCCTCATGCAGTGTTCTCTTCCTGAAGATGCTTTGAAAGTTCTCAAAGGAGAGTGACATCTTTCTTATTGCAATGTTTTACTTGTAATTGGACCTCTGCAGTGTTTCCCTGATCTGGCCTAGCCAAAAATGGGTGGAACTCGTGGACAAATTGCATTTTTGAGAGTTGGTGTCTGTAGCTTGGGCTTCATGCTAGGGTTCAGGACCTAGTGCCCACCTTCTGAAGAGGGAGCCTTGGCAGGAGGCTGTGTTTTCAGTTCTGCTTTAGTTCAGGGTTGTGGCCACTGCAGGCAGGTGAACTGAACTGTGGTGAGGAAGCAGGTATCTCTAGACCCTGGAGAGCTTCCCAATAGGGTGGCCATGCTGATGTTAACTCCCCTAACTGCTTGATTTGGGGGAAAGGGGCCTGTATGCTTTGACCAGACCTTAAACCAACCTTTCACTCGTGATGAGTTTCACTCTTAGAGCAGCAAAGGCCCTTCTACCTGTTTGCTTACTATCCAATAGATAGACTAGGGACTGAGGCTCAGAAAAGCCTGGGAGGCTTTTTGCTCAGGGCAAACCTCAGGCTGGACTCCTGTCTGCATCAGATGCTTTATGTTCCATCTTGCTGTCATCATTGAGCCAAGCATAATCACCAGCCCCACTATTTCTCTAGCTGCTGCTGCATTGTATAACTGGGCAGCAGGGTTGCTGTCCTTCTAGGTCCTAGTCTCCTTTGACCTAGTGGCACCCACTTTCCCAGGAAGACTATGTACCAGCCAGTGATTAATACAATGATGAAAAGAGCTTAGGAATCATCATGAACCCTTCATGTATCTTACTAGCTTAGTTCTTGTGTCAGTCTTCTCTGATGATCCCTATTACAGTTAGCCCTTGGTATCTGTAGAGCATTGGTTCCAGGACCTACTTGTAGATATCAAATTCATAGCTGCTCATGTCTTTAATGTAAAATGGTATTGTTTTGCATATAATGTATACAGTTATCTCATATATTTTAAATCATCTCTGGATTACTTTAATACATAATAAAATATAAAATATTATGTAAATAATATACTGTATTGTTTAGGAAATAACAATAGAAACCAAGTTTGTGCATGTTCAGTCCATATGTAGTTTTCAAACACAGTGGGTTTTTTTTCTATTTTATCTGTAGTTGATTGAATCCGTAGATACTGAACTCATAGATGTGGAAGGCCAGTTGTATAGATGAGGAGAGTGAGAGTCAGTGAGGTGCAGTCACTTCATAATCACACAGCTAGTGCATGGGTCAACCAACATTCAAACCCAGAGGTATTGATTTCAAGACTATCTACCAGGATCCCATGAAGCTAGCACTCTAGAGTAAGCTGCCAAGGAACCAGACTGAGGAAAGGCCAGTCTCATTGTGGCCTCCTAAAGTCATGCTCCCTTAAGTCTCTGAAGCAGGAGGAAGTTCCTACCCTGGAGACAGAATCTACCCTGACCCCCAGCAGAAGTAGCCAGGGAAGGTAGCCTAAGTAGTCCATGGAAAGCCAAAGAGGCTGGTATGGTGCAGAAGCAAGCAGAAGTCTGTGGCTTTACAACAGGATGTACATGCTAGCCAGGTGCTGATGGTGCTGCAACCACTGCTGCATCTGGCCATCCACCACCTGCCTGCATGAGAGGCCACAATGCCTCTGCACATGGAGTAACCAGACCCTCACAGCTGTACTCAGCCCCACTCTCAGGTCACTTCTTACAAGTCCCAGTCATAGGGCCCTGGGCAAGGCTGTGGACTCAGTTGTCTTCAGTCCCAACCTCTACTTTGGTTCCTTCTTTCAGGGTTACCTTGTGTCAGGACCTGAAAATAGAGTCACTATGTGCAACCACTTTTTTCTTCCTGGTAAGTCCCTAAAACTGGCAGAACGTAAGAAGATCCAGAACTTGCAGTCTTTTTCTTGCAACGCTCTAGGATAGGGTAAGAGGGATAGCTGAGTGACCTTGTGCAGTTCACTGGCCCTCTTTAGTCATCAGTTTCCACATATACCAAAAACGACTTGGACTTCAGAGTCTTAAAAGGCCCAACTTGCTCTAATTGCCTACAGTCTCCAATCTCAAGTTGTAATTCTTCCACTGGAGTTTGCACTTTGAGGCAGACTTCCTTCCCAAAGGACAGGCAAGGCTTTACTGAGTGCCCTCTTCTGTCCCTATCCTTCTGTCAACTCCACCTGAGCTGCCATTCCACTTTGAACTGCTTTTCAGTTCCTAAGTGTGCTGTCCTCTGTACCCATTCCTTTCTGCCAGGCAGTGTATTGGGAAGCAGCTCTGAGGTGTTTTTAAGAGTAAGTGGACAGAGGATTCTGTCATGGCATCCACTTCCTTGAGAGGCACATTCCTTTGAAGACCAGTTCAGTCCAAAACATAGCCATCTTTCCTGCTCAGCCTATCCTGTCAAACTTGACTGGCTCCTGGTATAATAAGAAAGGGGTGATTGGTTTGTGTGGGCGAGGGACATATAGAAGAAGAAGCCCCAAATGTGCCTTGTCTACAAGTACAGCGATGACTGATACTTGGTGTCCCTCAAGGGACAGTGGGCAGATATGTGCACAGGTAGCAGGATTATAGAAAGCCAAGGTTTGAGCACCTCAGATCCATCCTAATGTGGTCTTGGAGCAAACCCTTGCTCCTTGAAGCTTCTTGGTGGCTGACAGATACTGTCATTTTTAGGGATTTGAACAGCAGGGAGAGAGACAGGATTGGGTGGCAGGACAGATGTCTTCCATTTGGGGGCTTTCTACCTAGCCCCTCCCCAGGCCCAGGAAACCTTTATCCAAGCAGAAACTCTCCACCAGTACTGGGGCCTTGACAACTGTAATGGAAAGCTCCTGGGTCCTTCCAGGACATGTCCTCTCCTGGAGCCCTCCAGACTGTTATTTTTTGTTTTTTTGTTTTTGTTTTTGTTTTTTGCAAACTTAGAGGAAACTGCCACCTGCCCCAGTGTCCCTGATCCCCAGCCAGTGTTTGCATGCACCTCCTTCTCATCCCCATTTAGCTCACCTGAGGAGGACCTTCCCTGGCAGGGTCCAGAGGAGAAGAAAGGAGAGAGTTGCAGGAGCAAGAGATGTCATTCCACGGATAACTTGGATCCCTTTCCCAGCCTGGCTGCCAAGGTGAGAGCGGATATCCCTGTGGGAACGCCAAAAGTACAGAGCCTTCTCCAACTTGGGCTGCCCACAAAAGTGCGCGTGGAGCTGGGCTAGGAGTTGTATGCTCTTTTTTTTTCTTCTGCCCTCTTTTCTGTCCTGTCTTTACCAGTCAGGGACCAGAACTATTTCCATAGAAATGATCATGACACAGATAACCCTACCGGTCCTGATTTGGTTTCCCTTAGGCTGTGGAGGGTCTCAGCTTGCCGGTCAGGGAGCTAGCAAAGATGCTCTTTGGGTAGCAATCACTCTCCAAACCCTGGAGAATCTTGGAGGGGAGAGAGGAGGGAGACTGGTAGGAAGATGTTTCCCTCTTCTCCCTCCCACCTCCCCCTAGATGCACCCTCTGAAAGCAGCAATTTAAAGGCACAGTCACTAGCAGCTGGAGTGGGGTTCCAAGTGAGCAGGTCTGTATGCCTGGGAGGAGCTTGGTCTGCCAAGGCTGCTGCCTGGGGATAGCCTGAGGTGTTCTGTCCAGCCTCCAACTCTCCAGCTGGAGGAGTGCACGTAGGCAGCCCTGCTGGCCGTCCCCCCCCCCTCCACTCAACAGCTTTCCTTTTAGCCTGACACTGAGCTACATCCCAACAGAAAAGTCCTAATGATTTTCCTAAGAGGAAATCCACCTACTCTCCGAGAGGTTAGGTGGAGCCTCTGCGTATCTTCGATCTGGCAGCTTCAGGTGAGGGGCAGGCTGAAGGCAGGAGCAAAAAAGTGTGTCCCCATCCTCTGGATGAAGGTACAAAGTACAGATGATTCAGGAATTTCAGAGCAGCTCCCCTGTGAGTCTGCCTATATGGCAGTCTGTCCTTGTCTCTGCTCCCATATTCCCCTTCATTCTTGTTCTTGTGCATTCTTTCCCCTGCCTTCTTCCCTTTCTCAGGTCACTTCTTGGGAGCTTGAGAACCTCTGCACCTCTCAGAATTTTTCCTTCTTGTCCCTTGCTTCTTGTTTGTATGAGCTGGAGGTGAGGACAGGGTAGAGCACCCATTCAGATACCAACTAGCAGGTTTTGTATGCTTCAGAGGAATCATGAAAGGGACAGTGGGAAGAACAGTGACTTGGTGCCCTGCATCCCTAGATGAAGCAGGTAAAGGGGTACACTGTTCTCTTGCTTTCAGCACATTTGCTGATGCCATATAGAGGCTTCAGCAACTCTATTTTTAATTGCCTGACCCTTCCCCAGATTTTTCCATATGTCATCTAAACAACTCTGGGATTCCCACCAGTGCCTCTTCCTTCCTCTTTTACTCTCCTCACTTCCTGTCTTCCTCCCTTTCTTACCAGTTTTCCCTCATATGTTCTCTCTCCGTCTTTATCCCTTCCTGTTCTTTCCTCTCACCTGTATCTGTCATCCTTCTATCTGTCTCTGTCTCTGTCTCTCGCTCTCTCTCTCCCTATCTCTCTCAAAGACACATACACATACTTCCTCACCATCTCTGTTTTCTTTCTCTAGCTCCCTAGTATTGTCAATCTCTCATGTTCTCCCAAATTTTAGCAGTGAGAAGCAAAGGTTTTAATTTCTTCTTGGGTGGGAACTTCTCTGTGAGCTCTTCTGAGTTTGTACAGGGCAGTGGGGAGTGTTTCAAACTAATTAAGCTAACTGCAGCCATTCTAACCTTGTCATGGAGAGGAGGGTGTAAGGGTTGGAAGCTCTTTCTGATAGATCCATTGCCTATATACAGGGTTTCATAACAAGGCATCCACTTATAGAACTTGGGCAACATTTCCTTTTTGGTGGTGTTGTTATTAAGGAAGAAGAATTTTCAAGTCACAAATGGAAGATAAAGAGAATTTTTCAAGAATACACACTGAAATATTAATGAGTGAGCCAAGCTTGTTGGAATTGGTAGGGATAACATTTACACCTCAAAAAATGTCTATAAAAGCAAAATACTAATTCTCCTAGAAACATCTTCACCTGCTTATCCTTCATCCTCCTTAGGTATTACAGTCCTTATTCTATGGACAGGAATAGAGCCTTATAGAACATCAGGGCAGAGTTCCACACTGAGGAGCAAATGGGAACACTTGTCTCCTTTTTTGTGTAACTCTCCCCTCATGTCACTTTCTCTACCGCAATAGTCCACAATTGCTCTCAGGTTGCAATCCAAGAGCATCTGATTTGGTCATTCTGCTCTTGCATTAATGTTTAGAATTGCCTGTTCTCTTTCCAGTATTTGTGTGTGTGTGTGTGTGTGTGTGTGTGTGTGTGCATGCGTGCACGCGCATGCGTTCATGAGAGAGAGGGGGGGACAGGAGAGAGAGAGACTGGGACTGCAACTCAGTACCTAACACTTTGTCTCATTGGCTAGCACTCTACCAACTGAGCCATGCTTCCAGTCCTTTCAAGTATTTTGTTGTTGTTGGTCATGGGGCTTGAATTCTGGGCCTGGGCACTGTCCCTGAGCTCTAGGCTAGTGCTCTACCACTTGAGTCACAGTGCGACTTCTGGTTTTCTGGTGGTTAATTGGAAATAAAGAGTCTCACATCCTGGGCTGGCTTTGACCTGTGATCCTCAGATCTCAGCCTCCTGAGTAGCTAGGATTACAGGTGTGAGTCACCAGTACCCAGCTTTCCCCAAGTGTTTTAAGATGGTCTTCTCTACAAAGTACTTTCCCCTCCACTCTTGCCCTTCTAGACTGAGGGGTGTTGTAATTTTGTCAAGGAAGAATTTTTGAACTTCTACTATTTTCCTTGGGTCTGATTCTAGTGCCTGTGCCTGGAAATGGGGAAGGTTTGAGGGGAACATACTACCATCTAGTATCAGCTTACTTGCCTTCCCCCCTACTCTATCAAGATCTGCCTGAAAGCAGAGACATAATTTCCACCAAATGCTCAGTGTACTGTACACAATTAGGGAGTACTCATTAAAAGATATACCTTGAGTACCTAAAGACACTTCTGCAAGCTCATTACTTGTGCATCTCTCTCTCGTTAAAGAAGAATGATGTTTCTCTCTCTCTCTCTCTCTCTCTCACTCACACACACACACACACACACACACACACACAGATGGAAGGCCAGCAAGAAGCAATGGCAATAAGGAGAAATAAAGGAGCAGCTTTTACTTACTTGCCCCTTGGGTCTGTGGCCTCACACTCAGTAGTCTGAAATTCGTGGCTAATGGAAAGCATAGGCCTCTAGGGACTGGTCCATTGTCTCAGGCCCCACCTCCTCTGTGCCCCATGGGATGTCTGAATGGTGAGAGTATGGCAGAGTCATCTTCCTGGGAGGATAATCTCTTCTTGTGAGATATTGCAGCAATCAGCAAATGTCTGGCTGGCAAGATGAAGAGATCCAGATTTCCTTGGGTCCTGGAGTAGAAGGGAGAAAAGTCGAGAAAGAACTAGGTGAACTGCTGTTTAGATTTGACAAGCACCAAAGAGTTTGCTGTCCAACAAGGAATCCTTACTCTCTGAAATTGACCTCAGCATCTTCCTACAGGGGAAGGGTACGAAGTTGTATCCAGTCCTGCCCCTTAACCATTTTCTCATCATTAAACCATGGTGTTTAAGAATCGCCATGTCCTACAATATATTGTACCTTTTTCAGTTTGGCAATTGGTTGCTACTACACTGGCCTGAAGAACTGACTTCATTGCAGTGCTGAGGTGATATAAAAGCTACAATAGGAAACATGGTTTTCAGGGTGAAGTACATAATTTTGTTATTTTAAAAAACCTACTGAACTGCTAAAAGTGGATTAAGCACATTTTCATAAATATTTCATTCCAGGAAAGAGTCCCTCAAGGTCCAGTCTTATGCAGGGAAAATTGCAGCTGCACCCTGCTGACAAGCAAGCTTCCCAAACCCTTCGTTGGAGAAACAGTAGGTCTAAGTTGGGATAGGTATTTTTGGCAAATTCAATGATTTCTAGGCTGTATGTTGAGGGACAGAGTGGAAAAATTATTTGACATAGCTTCTTGGAATTAATTCCAATTACCCAGATAGTTTAGCCCCTTCCCCATATTACCTATCTTATTTATTGAAGTAGAAAATGGATTGAAAGGTACCTCAGAGGTAGGCTGTGTCCCCAAAATGAGGAAATTCCCATAGCTTTAGTTGCTTTTCAGAAGTGTTGGGGTAGGAAGTTTGAGAAGGGGGTTGAAATAAAAGATAGACACCTTTTAAAAAATTTGCTGATGATGATCAGAGCACTTCAGTTGGATCTCTAAGGAACAAAGCTGCATCTTTTTGCTGTGTGTGAATTTTTCTTTTCAGGGTCATATTCAGCTTCTAGGGATGTGACAGTTTACTTGAAAGTAGTAGCTCAATTTTTATTGCTCAGGATCATTGCAAGCAGAGTAAGGAAGCACTCTAGCCCTGCAGACTTCAGGAGATGGTGCAGAGAGCATGTGGGGTAGTAGTGGTGGTGGGAGTTTCACAGGCCTCAACTCAGCTGGAATTAGAAAAAACAAAACCATAGGTGAATTAGGCATGTTCAATGTTCTCATGACTTTTGGATATTGGCTGGTTTCAAGTCTGATGCTACAAAAATTTCACCTTCTGTGTGTGTGTGTGTGTGTGTGTGTGTGTGTGAG